AGGGCTGCTGGCTTGCACCCAGCCACGGTGTGAGGCTGGGCCACTGCCCACTGTCTCCCTGAGGTCGAGCTGAATGGCCGGGAGCCCGTCCCCGCCAGGCAGGGCCCAGCCCTCCATGCACAGCCCTGGGCAAGGGAGAGGGCGGGGCTCCGGGACCTCCTTGGTGGCCAGGGCAGGCTAGCTATGACCTCTGACCTACAGCGACCCCGTCTTGGCTGGGCCCCCCAGTGACCCACGGCGACCCCTGTGGGCCTCTCTCCCTCGACCCTCGGTCACGCTTTGCCTGACCTTCACTGCAAGACTGGGAGCCCTGGCCAGCCCTGGCCCTGCCCATGTGAGTCAGGTTTTTCCTGACCCCGCATGACCCATCGGGAGGCTCTACCCCTCCCACTGAGAGCGCTCCCCGGTCCCCGCCGTGACCGTGCAGACCGGGGCGTGGGGTCACCGAGGCCTGCTGAGCCGCAGTGGTCCTTTGAGCGGCCTGGACTTCGCTGCTTTCGACCCTCACGGCCCCGACGGCCGGTGCACCCCTGACCCTGACCCCGGCCGACCCTGCCCGCCGAGTAACTGCCACCCCCCGACTGGCTCTGAGCCGCCACCCGGTGGCTCCGACCTGGCGCCACCTGGCCTCCTCGGTGGCCTCGGCCCCTCTCCCCGGCCCCAAGGTGGCCGCTGCCCGCCCTGTCCTCGGTGCCCGGCCCCTGCCCGCCTGCCCGCCCGGCGGGGAGTCGGCGGCCCCGAGGCGGGGAGGATGCACACTCACGCCCAGCTGCAGCAGGAGGAAGGCTGGTCGGAGAGGAAAGAGCATTGGACAACGACACGCGACTAGGGCTAGAGAGATTGGCTACGTCCTGGCTCTGGCTGGTGACGGAGGACTGTCTCCTCAGGGCCCCCTGAAAGGAGGCCCCGCTCTTGAAAGTATTGACTACTTCAATCTGCAACGGAGGAGAGAACGAGACAAGTTGCGAGAAAACGCCACAACAGCCACACGACTGACAGGGACCACGAGAACAGCCGCTGCCGGGCGACACGACACGTCACTTACACCGAGACAAAGATTCCAGACACACTCCAAGGCTCTGCAGGCGGTCGGCTCACGCGGCCTCTGCGCGGGCCAGGGCCCGGCCAGGCTGTGTCCGGGGCCGTGGCCGGTCTGGGGTCGGGGAACGTGGCGGGGGGTGTGCGGGCCCTGGGGCCGGGCTGGAGTCGGGGTCTGTGGTCGGGGCTGGGGGGGCCTGGGCCCGAACCCCTCTGCCACGTCTGAGCTCTGCGACCTTTGGCGAATCACCCGAGTGTGGCTTCCTGTCCCTCGGCAGGGCCCGTGCCACCTACCTGGCAGCTATCTGCAGGCGGGACGGTGCCCACCGGCGTCAGCGCTCCGGCAGAGCCCCGCTGGGCAGGCCCACGCCCGCGCAGGGCGCTACAGCCCCGGTCTTCCTGCAGCCTGGAGGCCCCAGGGGGCTGGCGCCCCCACAGCAGACGGCCAGGCGCATGGGCGGCTCGGGCCCGGACCCCCCACCCCAGCTCTGCAGTCACTCCTGACTGGCAGGCGGAGCGGGTCTCGGGGCTGGGGCCTGGGGGACAGTGTTGGGCCCTGCCTGAGGCCTGAGTGAGAGGCAGCCCCGGGGCCTTAGTCTCCGTGGAGCTGAAGGCCAGGCCGGCAGGCTGGCTCCTCGCCCAGCGCGCCGGGTGGGGAGACACCTCCTCCCGGGGTTCCAGTGCCCTCTGCTGCTGGCTGTGAACTACAGCGGGAGCGGGGGTGCGGTGGGGGGGAGCCTGTGAGGGTGCGGCACCGCCTGGGGG